CTGATGACTTACATAGGTGTATTTCAAAATAGTATTTGTATTTTAATTGTAAAAATGTTGATTCTGTCGCCAAGGAGAGAATATTATTAAGCTATATATATATATATATTAAACATTCGTAATTTGCAAATTACAAAGAAAGCGGAAAAGGACTACTCACTATCCGTAAACAAAAAACCTCTTTATATACGACTGCAATTCAAGGGCGATATACCAAGTGAAATAATTACGAAGAAATTAAGAAAATCAGTTCAAAGAACTTTTAATGCTGGTGAACTTCACGTATTATTCTCTACACGACCGATGGTGATTCCTCGACTGAAAGATGAAGTACCTAGACTAGCCACTTCAAATTGTATCTACCAATTCAACTGCGCTTGTGGTGGAGCGAGTTATATTGGCCGTTGCTCTAGGAACTTGATTTTTCGTGCTCGAGAACATATCCCACTATGGCTAGGTAAACCATCAGTAGTTCGATATTAGACCAGCGGATGAAAACCGGCCAAAAAGCCAGCGTAGAAGAATCCTTCTCTATCACCTACCGGGTGCCTAATAAATTGCCAAAATCATCGAAGCACCGCATGCTCCAAACAGCAGAGGCTATTGCAATTGGCGTGAAACAACCAGTGCTTTGTTTGCAAAAGAAGCAAGTCCAGCCACTACCACTGACCTGGCCTTCAGTAGAGACTATAAATCCATGAATTTGTAATACTATCTTTCCTAATTTTCTGACATTCAGATTATTTTATGTTGATGCTATTGAACTGAAATCCACTGATATTATTATTATTGATTCGATGTTATTTAAACAGCATTAATGTTGTTCATAACACTAATTCATTCATTCACTATAATGTGTATATAACTGTAGAGCCTGATGATGAAGGCGTTATCGAAAAGAGTATTCTTTGTTCAGTATTCATTCTTTTGAAAATTAATTTTCAATTTCGCATAACAGTTTCCTTTGGTAACCGAGATCTGTTCGATACCATAAATAGCTATCAGCAAAGCAAGTATAATCGCATGAAACTATATTTTACTGTTGATTGGTTGAGATGAGCATCTGTATACCACTCACATCAACCAATGGTGTTTGTTATCCAGATCGAAGGGATCTAGACAAGCTCTGTTGGCTGAAAGACCCGCTGGACCCAATTAGATAAAATAATATGATTTACAAAATACCCTGCAATGAGTGTGAGTCAACTGCATAAGTCAAAATAGGAGATCGGGAGTAGTGAGATTGTCAGAACATAAGAATTTAGCTAAGGTTAGAATGGTTGACCCCGAGAAGATAAGCAATTTAGAAAAAAGCTCAGCGATTGCATTGCATGCATTAACAAACAGTCACATAATAGGGTGGGAGAGGGTTAGGAATCTAAGAAGTAATCTAGGTAGGTGGAGAGAGACAGAGCTTGATTACTGAATCCTGCCTGGTTCATCGAGTCTACACCCAACACATGCAACAGAATTGACTCAATGCTAATACCAGAAATATGGAAGACATTATTATAATCAGTCAGTCAAATCAGAGGAGGATAATAAATAATCTCAAAATTCTATTTTAATTCACGTACATCATAACATTCTAACAAGTTACTTATTTTTTACTGTAAAAAACACCTTATTTTCCATCTGACTGTATTTGATTGATAACACAACAGATCATCTCCATTCTGTTCGGTTCTCTGCAGTATTTTTCATCTGGCTTCACGATTTTCCATTTGCCTTCATTTCCTTTTTATTTGATCGCCTCTATGTCACACTTGAACCCAAGCCCAACTCATCATTTCCCACTCACCTTCCACTCGAGTGATGGTCTGCTGCGCGATTTCAACCGACAGTCCCTTCAGTTTGTGTCCAGTCCATCTGCATTTCCTTCGGAATATTTGTTGATCAATAGGTTCCTGATCGGTTTGTTTCAAGAGATTTTTGCTGCTGGTCCTTTTTAGCCGGCTATCTCATCTTCAGCATGGAGCGAGAGAAGTGGGCAGATGCTGATAAAAGTGTGCACTAGTCTGTTCAAAATGTTTTACCCAAAGCCTACGCTAAGTTTCTAAACCCAGTAGAAGATATGACTTGACATTAGTGTTAACAACCCGAATTTTGTTTCTCTTTTATGCTGACTGGATGTGGAATTGATTGATTTCAGAATAATGAATATCTTTCTTGCGGTTTCGATCCTGCCTTTGACATCCTCATTTTTGCCTCCGCCTGTAGTTGATAACTGAAGGGATGAATTCCTTTAGATTTCTGCCGTTGATAGTGACTGATGCTTGTTACTGTTAGTTAGGTATCTCCATCAGCTCTCTCATCTTTATGTTAACCGAAATACAGTAGTATAAATCATATAATAATAAAGTATTGAGGATTAAAATGAGTATTTCAGACTACTGAGTACGCTACAATTTAGTGTATTTTTCTAACGTCTTCATTTGAAAATTGCGCCTAAAGCATTTGTTTATTTATATTCAACTCACAAATTAGACATTTTAGACGTGAATATCGATCGTTTGGTTAGGCTTGAACATTCAATTTTTATCCGTCTATAAACTCAACCTTAATACTCATATATCGTTTGATAAATAATACCCCATTTTCTACCTCTTAATACAAATCTAATTCGTTTGTTTTTCAGACACTTTGTGTCTTTTTATACAATATTTGTGCATATAGTTAAAAACAGAAATTACTGTCTTATATTTAAGTGATTTAGACGAAAAACAATACGCACGTAGAAGGTAAAATGAAATCAAGCTGCTTGAACAGTTAGCATAGTTATTACGCTTTTATTTTGAATAATAATAATAATAATATTGACCTTACTGATTGTTCAAATTAATCGAGAGCGGAAATTTTCGATCAAAACATATATAAACAAACGGTCAACAGATAATTTTTCTTTTTACGAGTTTGACCATGGATTGATATCACTTAGAAAACCGTTGGAAACGAGCACTGGAGTACTGGACAGCTGTTTCATCCTAGTTTGGGAATCATTGGCAGTACTCACCCACTGCCAAGATTCGAACCCAGGACCTTCCGATTACAAGGCAAGCTGGCGCGTATACCATTAAGCCACTGGGACCCAATTCGATTGCGGCCAGCCCATGAATTCTAACTTCTACCGATTTGTGAATTAGCGCGACCCCAACCAATGTCATCGGTGGGACATCCATCCTCACACGTGACATTTGGATGGACCTCACTGGTCACGAATTCTCACTAGAACTCCAGAAGAACTTCATCCTGTAGCAAATCACTAGCGAGCATCAGATTAATTTTCTATAGTTGGTTTGTAAGGGTTAGTTTTGTTTTTATGAATAGATCATGGATTGATCTCATTTAGAGACCCATTGAAAACCAGCACTTAAGTACTGGACAGCTGCTGTTTCATCCTAGTTTAGGAATCATCGGTAGTACGCACCCACTACCAGGGTCCGAACTCAGGTTTACAGTGTTTCTCTAACTGACAACAATCCGTGATCAACTCGTAAAAGCAAAACTAATCCTTACAAACCAACTGTAGAAAAGGGACAATTACTTACAGTTATTGCTTAGAGCTTTGATGCTGTTATGTAGACTTTATTAAACAGTCAAACTTAATCTCTTCTGTCGTCGTTATTTTAAACGGAAACAACTTGTTTTAAGCAGTAATAAACAAAAGATACGATCAGAGAAACTTACAGGCTTCAGTGTAGATTTCTTCATAAAACAAAATCAGTTAGAGAGACCACTGAAAGCCAAGAAGTAGTGGACGGTTGTTTCGTCCTACTCTGGGGTTGTTCATCAGTGCACATCCATGGTCCCACAGGGGATCGAACCCCGGAACTTCAGGATACAACATCAAGCTCGTTGAACATCCAACCAATTGTACTGGAATTCAGTAATCCGTGCGTTAGACTTTGTCATTTCGTGATTTAACGCTACCCTCAACTAATATCTTCAATGAACATACCGTTGGACTTAACATGGTGCACCCCACTGGGGAGAAACAGCTGTTTCCAGTGCTCCTTGGCTTTTAATGATCTCTAAATGATTGTGGCTGGTAACGAAATCTACATAGAAATTAATTTAAATGCCTATAAATCCCCGTAATCTAAGTATTACTCTGCAGCTCATTAATGGCTCATTCAATGTTAGAATTCTCGCCAACCATGCAGGTGGTTCAGGGTTCGAGTCCGGGCCAGGCGCGCACTTTTATCTCCCCTAGCTGGCCATAAACCCGACATATAGGAAAGGTTGGGCCTGAGGCAAGCAACCACCCTGTAAAAGACACTACTGGTACTGAAACTTTGAAGCTCAATCTTGAAGTCCTGTGTGCTACTCAGAAAGCAAAATGGAACAAAAAAACCATCGATGGTTAGTGCTTAGATATCCTGAGGCTTTATCGAGAAGTTATGATCAGTGAGGTCCACCTTGTCAAGATAAACTGGCTGCTCATTGAAGGCATCGGTTGTGGGTAGAGCTATTATCCTAAGTTCGAAACCTGATGGGGTCATCAGTGCGCAATGAAGAAGAGTACCAAGGTAGGACGAAACAGACATCCAGTGCTTCATAGTTTTCAGTGTCCCCTCTAAATGATGTTAGCTAGTGAAGAAGTCTACATTCGAGAAATTCACAAATCACTTAATTTGACATTCATCTGGTTGTAAACAATGAACCATTTCAGTAAAATAGCAGAATTTTCTTTCCAAATGACAGAAATCTAGTTTTCAGAATTTCAACATTCTTTAACCGGTCGGGATAAATGACAAAATTAGTTTACTTGGATAGTTCTAAAATTTACTACATCATAGTAGTTAGATTAAGTTTTATAAAGTCTAAAACGTTTAATTTTCAACCTAAATTAACTAAACTTTAATTATAATCATTCAATTATTTTCTACCGCCATTTTTAATTAACTTGTTAATTTTTTATTATTATCTTCTGATAAATCATTGATACTTCAGCCTGTGATGAGCAGAAGAGGATACTTTTGTGGTTTAGTATTAAGTGTTTATTCTAAATTGACTTGACTTCTGCCACTACTTTGTAAAAATTGTAAAAAAAACTGACAAAAGTGGCTTAATAGAATATTCATAACCAACCTCATACGTGATAGATGGGAAGTTCTGGTATGAGTGTTACAGCTGTTGTGATACACTGTGTAAATTGTGTCAATAAGGGATTTAAATTTTTTGCAAATACCCGGGGTATTCGGTAAAATGTTAATAGGGAAGATGTATTTGTATAATCTCATTGAAGTGAAAAAAGTAAACATCTAGGGTTCGAATACTTTTAATAAATTCCCATCTTCATAGAATGAAATCTGTACTAGTTATCCGATATTTGAACAGCGGAATTTGTCCGTAGCAGAGCGTATTAGAATAACAATTTTTTATTAGTCTGTGCTGTGGGGTAGGAATTCAAAGACTTCAAACCCGTCAGTAACGTGTCTATTGTTTTTATTTCTTGAGTTCCAAGTGGAACATAAGCTTTCAGGCTTTTGTTTTCAAGGAATGCAGTCGGTGGACCTATGCTCGACGTCCCTTTATTTCTGTTCTTACCATCGGTTAGTAAACTAGTCGGAGTGTAGGAGTGTGTTAGCTCGGAATCAAGGTGGGAACTCAGAGGTGGCTGGCGAGCATTCAATCGCAGAAACACAGACGCAAGACGTGTCTACAACTTATATGTATTTGGTTACGGGATTTCATCATGAGCTGACCTCGGTTAGGGAACCATTGGAAAACTAATTGAGAGTATTGGACAGCTGTTTCGTCCTAGTCTGGGACTCTGCACAGTACGCAACTATCGTCAAGGTTCGAACCCATGACCCTCTGCTTGTACGAGCTCGCCTTATAATCAGAAGGTCCTGGTTTCTAACCCTGGTGGTGGGTGCCTACTGTGAAGAGTGCCAAACTAGGACGAAACAGCTGTCCATTACTCCCAATTAGCTTTCCAGCGGTTCTCTAACCGATGAGAGCTCATGATGAAATCCTATAACTGAGAGATTTTACTTTTTACTTCATTTCGAAGTTATAGACGAAAATAAATCCCTAGTGAGACAATGAAAGCTCAGAATTTAAACCAACCATTTCAATTAACACAATAGTAAAGGTCATTCACTAATATCCTTTCGAAATTTGTTAGTCGTACAACTAAATCTAATATTTTACATATTTATAGAATTAAATTATTTTATTTGTTAAGTCATCGTGACCTGTACATAAAGGGTATTCAGATTATGGCTAATCTTAAAAGTTAGAATTAAAATGGGACATATGTTAAAGAGAATGTTATCTAAATTGAACTCTTCAATATAGTGTGGTTTTTGAAGTGTGAGTAAATATATATGCTTTATAGTAAGACGAAAAATGAACCAATTAATGCTAAACTTGTGAAAACAGAAATAAATTTTAAGGGTAAATAAGTTTTCTTACTATTATCAGAACTGATGTTCTTTTCAGAAGCACTGAAAAAACAAGTCATTATATCAATATTAAAAAAAGAGATCACTAGTAATTAGGAAGGTTTCAACGAAAAAGTACGTAGTTGATCGAGCAGATAAAGTATATCCGACTTTCTTCTTAAATAATCACACTTACTGCAGAGGCTTTAAAGAGGCAACTGGATTGTGCTCAAGACTGTGGGGATTGAGGAGGTAGGAATACGCTGGACAACCGATAAGATGACTCTAGAAGATCTGGATTTTGCGCGTGGATGATTTATGTTTAATGTCACACAAACTCGAAGAATTACAGGCGAGAACCAACAAACTGGCTGAAGAGGCTGGCAAAGAAGACAGAACTCCAGGTGAATATAGAGAAGACGGAGGTCATTAAGTTAACTAACCAACAGCAACAACAAAAACAACCAGCGCCAATCGCCATCAACGGGAGCTATTTATCAGGGCTTACTTTTTTCACTACTCTAGGAAGCACAGTTTCAGCCACAGGCAGAACAGATGAAAATGTCAGAGTCAGGATCGGAAAGGCCAGATACACCTTCATCAGCCTGAAAGCAGTGATACAAGGATAAAACTTGTGCACTGTGGTAGAGTATAATTCCGTTATGGTCATCGAGTCTACACCCAACAGGTGCAATAGGAATGACTCATCACTCATACCGGAAATATGGAAAATACTACTACCAATCAAGTCAAGTGATGGAAAATAATGGAATTATATAAACGAAGTTAGAATGTTGTGTGAGTGCCTTGAAATGATCATGAGCAGGCATAAATTGTGTTCGAAACGTCATCAGTAAATATTACTGTATAACACTGTGAGACTTTATCAAAATAAATTTTACCCATAATGGAACTTGAAAGCAGTTTGGAAATCTTCTTCACTCACTCAGTCAGCATAAAGAAGAAGATTCAAATTTTCAAATCCAATTTCAAGTCGGTCAATAGCTGCTGGTTCAATACTGAAGATCAAATGGTTGGCCGTCGAGAAAGAAATGGCAACAAGAAACTCTGGCTGGCGATGAACCAACCAGGAGTCAATTGTTCAAAAAATATGTGGGAGAAAATGGAAATGGATAGGGCACACTTTGAGGAGGCCATCGAATGAAATCGCTCGCAGTTTAGGACATCACTAGAGTGGAATCCCAATAGGAAGCGGCGAGTGGGTCAATGGTGAGAGGGCGACATAGAAGAGATTGGGCGAGGCAAAGGAGATGAGAGATAATGGACAATCGTGGGCCTAGCTGAAGAGGACAGCAGAGAATAGAAGAGAGTGGAGATGTCTTGTTGAAGCTGTATGTTCCACATGGAAACCAAGGAAGTATTAGTGATGATAAATAATTTGAAGAGGTAAAAATGAAGTTTTCGCCTAAAATGGGTAACATTTTTCATAAAAGTGGATAGAACTAAAATGTGTCTAGTCGGTATGCCCAAGTGTTTATTCACAGAATTACAAGTTTCCTGTCTAATTGTCAGCACACTGGGAGATATGATCTAAACTAGACAAACGAAAAGGTATTCTCTAATGATGACTAACCACTGGATTTCAGGTAGTAGTGAAAGGTGGATGCATATTCACCTATACGAATTCGACGAATTTTCAATATAGTTTTGCATTTAAACGTCTAATCCATCAACCATTTACTCCTGAAACATGGAGTGATGTTGTGTTTGTGAGAGGGATACTCGCTGACGTTAATCCGTCATCTTCATCTGAACATTTTGATTAGTGAATGAGGTTCATGTTGTAGTCATTTGGAGACAAACGCATGCAATTATCAAAGATAATGGATTGCATACGCATATTGTTAGTTCAGGCACAATGAACTGCACTCCTTTTTTCAGAACATAGTGGATTATTGCTGAAGCTGTTTATTTAGAATGATGATGGCTTTGATGTCATTCAACGCACAAAGTTACTTTTTAAAGTAGAATACAGTTTTCTACAAATTTTATTATTATTATTCCCTTGGGTCCTCACTGAACCATAAGGCTTCAGCACCACATCTTTTCATTTAGTCTCTTCCTCACATGATCTCTTCCATGTCAACCTCTGACCCAAGCCCAACCCTTCATTTCCTATTCGGGTTCCCCTAGAGTGATGGCTTGGCATGCGATGTCACTCAACGGTCTCCTCAGAGTGTGTCCGATCCATCTCCATATCCTTCAGAGTATTTCTTGGGAAACAGATTCTTGATTTATTCGTTCACAGAATTTCTTATTGTTAATTCTTTCTAGCTAGCCATCTGATCTTCATTATGGAGTCAATGATGATGGCAGCTGTTGATAAAAGTCTGCAGCAGGCTGTTGGAAATGCTTTTGATGACGCATAGATTGACCCATACAGAAGGACTGACTGACTTAATAATGATGTTGGGAAGCCAAATATTGTCCTTTGTGTTGACTGCAGAAGACTTCCAAACTGATTCCACAGTGATAAGGGTCTTTCTTGTCTTTCCAGTCCCTCCTTTGAAATCTCCATCCATGTTGTCGCCTATAGCGGAAAGGATTTTGCTTAGATAAGCCGAGGAAGTGGCATTTTTTAAATTCCTGCCATTGATAGTGATTGGTCCTTGTTGTTGTTGTTGTTGGTTGGTTGGTAAAACAGTTCAGTGGTCATTCAGGATGAATAAGACAGGTAGAAAAATGTTGTATGTTGTACTTTTGCAAACAAAGATAACGATCATTAGTTGAAACTATATGTTATATCTATTCCATAGTCTTTCTAGTGGATACACTTATCACTTAAAAGACAAATGTGAATATCCTTTCAATTTGTTTATTTAATGTAGCGAACAATGGTATTTTGTTTAGTAAACAATACTGCCTCACTATACGTCACATGAAATAAACAAAAAGTAACCTGGGTTTAATACATTACCAAAGTGCATAAGTTTTGATGTTGTATATTGGTCAAACATTCTAATTCTAGCTACCACTAAAGAGGATCAATTAAGATGCACTCTCCTACTTAAGGCATAGAACATAGGTGGAAGATTCTATAATTATTTAAATTTATATGTTATAGGAGTGATTACCAATTAACTGACAAGCATTTACCAATAGAGAAATAGTAGTAAATAAAGTAGGAATTTAGTCGATATTTCAGGGTAGGTCTTATCATCTTCATTGGTTCACACTCTATCAATATATGTGTAAAACTTAGGCACTGTGGTAGTAAGTAATTCCATATTAGTTTGTTTATTAGATGTATCACACAGTGAAACAGTATTATTTACTGAACGACACTTCAAACATAATTTATTGTTCATGATCATATCAATTATAATCACACGACTTCGAAACTTGAGTTTTATAGTTTTCTTTGTTCTCTTCTATTTGTCGTCGTTGGGGCAGTAGAATTTTCCAGATATCTGGGTGGACAGGTATTGAATCATTCCTGTTACATGTGTTTTCAGTTGATTCGATAAACAAAGCTTCTGTTATCAATCTCTCCCTGCATCCTGTTACATTAGATCTTGCTAGATTGTACCAAAATAAATAGCTTTCTGTCAGGAGTCAGTAAATGGTCTGAGTCTAACGGTCTAAAACTGAATCCTTCTAAATGTCAAACTGTGAATTTTAGCTTAATATGAAAACGACAG